CATTGACCTTTCATCTTATGGATTGGGTTCTCCGGTGAAATGTGTTTGATTTAAGTAACCTGCAGTGTCATTTAATTTATCAGCATTTTTGTTGTTTTTAAAAATAACAAAGTTAAAGGATGAAGATTAAGGTAGCTTACTTGGGATCTCATGTCTTTACACATGTTATACATGTTTTCAATAACAAAATGAGTTTACTAAACAACTTGTGCTAAAGGTGTTCTTCAATGGCAATGCATTTTGTTTGTTTATGTTTGGGCATTTATTATTAAGAAACTTATACTCCAAACTCTTACAAGAAGCAGTGTAAAAAGGTCAGTGAAAGATTTTTAGCACTCAGATTAGGAACACCGATCATGTGAGATAAGGGACATTATTGGATGCATGCATCTTCTATTTGCATCTCAGTTGAACTTCGCTATTTGCTTTCGCTGTGCTGCTGTTCCTCCATTTTATTTGAAATTCCTCAGAGCCGTGGCCTCACTGGGCTTTTAGTTCTATTTGTTAGCTCTCATTGTCATTGGAGATACCAAAAGTTATAATGCTTAATTCCTCGACATTGGAAGTCAATAGTTGTGTGGACATTTGGGTTGGAACCATAGCATTGCACTTGATAGAGTTTAGTTGCTCCCTGAAATCACCATAAAATAACGTCTGGACTATTTCATGATACCACCTTTTCTTGAAGCCTCATTTTCAGATTAAGCTATACAATAGACCTCACTTTTGATCCGTGGCGGACCTGGGGAAGAGTACTAATCTTTTGGAGCACCCTCATCCAATCATCTCTCTCTCTCACTCTCTCTCCCCCATGCATGTCTGCAAATGTGTCTTTATTTGCAGTGAGCATACGTCAGGGAATGAGAGATTGGTGTACTGTGTGCATATTCGTTGATTCAAATCATTTGATTTACTCACTCTGTCCGGTTGTGTGATTTCGTGCCTGTCCTTGGTTGGTTGTCATCAAAGACGAGTATCATCTGAAGAGGTTTAGTTGTTTGGTGGCTATATAATGCACATAGCTTTTCTTTGTCAAGCATTTAAATTGGTGGATTTGACTTTGTTAAGTAACACTGCATCAGATAAATGTATTAGTGTAACTATCACTTGTTTTTTCCTCCTGTCTGCAGGTCTACTCACTTGAAGATGGTCCTGTGCGCACTGTTTGGAAAAATCTCAAACTTACAGTCAATATCATTGAAACGATTGAGAATAGGACGATGACTGTAGACTGGCTAAAGTATGTTTGGATGTTCAATTGGCCATATATCATGTATCTCCAATTATGATTAATAATTCAACTGGTGGAATGTTAACTGGTTGAAGACCATCCTGTTGCTGCTTGAGCAAACAACAATCATTTCATTTTGTTTCTTTGCATTGGCTATCCTCATGGTCCTTAAATCAATCACTTGCTGTTTTTGTTTTGCTTCATTATGACTGGGGCCATCAGTAAATGCTGTATGGTGGTCCGAATAGAAACCATACTCTTTACCAAAATATTTTAGCGCTATTGGGACTTTTCTTATTTTGAATCCTTTCCAAGCAATCATATTTAATTGTATAAAATGTTCCACAGATATTAAACCTCTACACTTTCAGATATGTCCCTAGTGTGTGTCTGGGTGTGTGTGTGTGTAATGTGGTTTTTCTTGCTCAAATATTAGCAATTCAGCAAAACTATGAATTGAGGTATTTTCCCTTATAACTCTATATCCCTTTTTGTAGCTATGATGGCGTAATTGTGAACTCTTTTGAAGCCATGGGAGTCTTATCTTGGTAAGTCTTACCTGTTTATCTTTCAATCAGATGCATTTACTTACAGAAATCAATATTTGTGTTGTCTTCTCCTCTGTGAGTCTCTTCTCTGCAGAGTATACATTTCCAGCTGTCTGAACCCAGAAAACTATTTTCCTATATCTCAGTTTATAGTTGATAAATTTGTTGGTGAATCAGATTTATATCAAGTTTCATACATTAAGTCAAAGTTGTTTTGAAGATGTGAATCCTGCTGAAAGTTCATAGCTAATAACATTGTTTTAGGATGCTGTTATGAGCTTGTGGTTGAAGGCATATTCTCTAATTATATAAGGTGGCTTTATAAACTTGATTTAGGTTCAGTGATGCTGTCTTGCTCTGGATTTAAGAGAAAAACCACATTCATGTCTGTACATTACAGGTTTGGTTTTTAGCAAGGCTGTAAATAACACAATTTTGATGATTTTAAACATGAGGAGAGAAGGTCCATGCACTGAAAAAAAACTGAGGAGAACAGAAAACATTGCCTTTGGCTTGTTTGAGTTTTTGCAAGCAAAGATTGTGAAAATGGCTTGCTTGGATATTAGACGAATGGAATGAACAAATTATGAATCCATTTTGTGGTTTGATATTTGAAAAACAGGAAGAAGTGGGTTTGATAGAGTGAAAGTTGGTCAATTGAAATGGTTCAGGTTTTGTCTTGATAAGTAACTTCTTTTCAGCTTTTAGTTGTGCATTTGAAGTATCGAAGTAGCAAGCTGGGGGAGATAATGAATTACACGTGTACAGGAGGGGTAAGTGCATGTTTCTTGTATTGATGGGCTCTTGGTATTAGCCTTTCTCACAAAGAGAATAGTGATTGTGCAGAAATTGCTCTAAGTTTGTCGATTTTGTTTTGAGCGAGGGCAAGTTCTCATGTTGTGCTGTTTCTTGGAGATAATTCATCTCTTTTGGGCAGGATATTCACATAGTGACGATATGGCTGTTTATTAGAGTTACCAACTAAACTATCATGCTCAAAAAGAGTTAGCTCAGTATCTTTTGGTGGTTCTATTAGGGGTTTGCAAGGAGTTTCACATTCATATGCTCCAAAGTTCTTAAATTCTTTTGGTATGCATATGATGCAGACACTTTGATCCGCTTACTGCTTTATATAGTCACTACAATGGAAATATTACTGACTGTTGTTTTTGTTTTATTTGTGTGCCTTCTTGTCTTTACCTAATGGTTTGAAACTTTGGATTATAAAAATGCTGTTGTTACAAAATACAGTTCTGCAGGAGACTAGTCTTTTTCTTATCTATGTAAATATACAGAATTATTTTACCTCATGTAAGTTGTTTAGATTTTGAAGTTTCTGTTATTAGCATTTTCTTTATCCTATTAAAATAATTTTACTTGCTACAGTCTCATGCAGGAACCATTCAAATCTGTACCTCTTATATGGACTATCCATGAGAAAACACTAGCCATCCGTTTGCGTCAACACCTATCAGGTGGCCAAACTGAGATTGTAGAAGTTTGGAAAAAAGTTTTCAATCGTGCTACTGTTGTTGTCTTCCCCAACTATGTCCTGCCGGTAATATCTGATACACAAACTGGTCCATTTAACTTTTAATGCATCCAGCAAAATCTCCTTGTTGAAAGTGTCATGATTGCAGGGGTTGTTGGATTATTTGCATGTACCACTAAATGTTTTTCAATCAGGAGATGATTTATGACTCAAGATAATAAAAGACCACAAGATGATTGGGACGATCATCAAGTTATGTTTCTTTTCATTATATGTAGATAATATCCTACCACAGAACAGCTTGAACCCATTTTAATCTCTAACTGTATCAATAATGGTGCATTGGCTTAAAATTGATGCTAAAAGAAGCATAACTTTCTGCTGAGGTATGTTTTCCTCTTCTCTGCCTTTGCCAGGTGTTCTATTCGGCAGCTGATGTTGGCAACTATTTTGTTATACCGGGTTCTCCTGCTGAAGCATGGGAAGCAGACAATTTTTTGGCTTTACATAAAGATAATCTGCGTGTCAGGGTGGACTATGGGCCAGATGACTTAGTTATTGCAATCATGGGAAGTCAAATCTCTTATAGAGGTTTATGGCTGGAGCAGGCCCTTATTTTACAGGAACTACGCCCATATTTTGTAGGTTCGGCATTTGATAGCAATTCCACTTCTAATCTCAAAATCATTATTTTAAGTGGTTATTCAGCTAGCAACTACAGTGTGGCTGTGGAGGTAAAAAGTTGGTTTCATGTCTGCTAATCTTTTATTTTCATTTCAACTTTTCTGGGGTACTTGATTGCTCTAATTTTGTTTGGATCACTCTAAATAAGTATTAATCCTCTGTTTTAGGCCATTGTTCTAAACTTGGGATACCCAAAGGGAATTGTGAAGCATGTTGCTCTTGATGAAGGTGTAGACAGTGTTCTAAGCATGGCTGATCTTGTGATATATGGATCTTTTCGTGAAGAGCAATCTTTTCCGGACATTTTGATAAGAGCTATGTGCTTTGGAAAACCAATAATAGCCCCGGATCTCTTGATGATAAAAAAATATGTATGTTTCTGGGTGCTATATTACCTTTTCACATGCATGTGTCATAGATTATATGCATGGTTAAAGCTAACAAAATCTGTTTGGAACCCAACAAAATACTGCTAACAGGAGTTTGCAGGAGGAAAAGAAACACTGATCCTGTTAAACATGTGTCCCACTTTGTGTGACACCGAGAGGAAAGTATCCTTATAGATTCTACGCTACTCAAACTTCTGATTCCTTTTTAAGTCGACCCTTTTCTACATCACATAGCTGAAATTTTCCGCAGTCGGCAGATTAAATTTGTGGTCCGAGGCATCCCAGGTGCAAGGACTAGTTGACACATGGGTCATTAGTCTCTGATATTTGTTACTTGCACTAGTAATACATGACATCCTAGACCATTGATGACATCCAATCCTAAATCTCCTCATTTTGTTACCTACAACAAAATTTTTAATTTCTTGGATGGATTTTTTTTTTTTTTTTAAAGCAAGTTACTGACTTCTTTGGCCATTGGCAATACTATCAGGTTGATGATAGGGTGAATGGCTATCTATTTCCAAAGGAGAATATTAAGTTTCTGAAACAGATAATGTTGCAAGTAGTCTCAAAAGGAAAACTATCACCTCTAGCTCGCAATATTGCTTCAATTGGAAAACAAACTGCTAAAAATCTCATGGTTTTAGAAACAGTTGAAGGGTATGCTTTGCTCTTGGAACACATTCTGAAGCTCCCATCTGAAGTTGCACCTTCCCAGTCTGTCAAAGAAATCCCTTCCAAGTTGAAAGCAGAATGGCAGTGGCATCTTTTCAAAGAAATGGCAGATTTTACTTATCTAAATAGAACTTCAAGAAGCTACGGATTTTTAGACAACGTTGAAAGTCAATGGAACCATACTCAAAGGGAGAGTTCTGGTGCTGTGACTGCACCTAATGAAACATTTTTATACAGTATCTGGGATGAAGAAAAATCTGTTCAGATGAATAACACAAGGAAGAGAAGAGAAGAAGAAGAGGTAAGTGATGGAGGCAGTCGTCTACATGTTGTGAATTTGACTTGAACAATCTCTGGTATTTCTATCTATTATTTTTGTCCTTGCCTCCTTGGTGGAAACCCATTTTCTTTGTAATTTGATGCAGTTAAAGGATAGAACTGAACAACCTCGGGGAACATGGGAGGACGTGTATAAAAGTGCCAAAAGGGCTGATCGTTCTAAGAATGATTTGCATGAAAGGGATGATGGGGAGCTTGAAAGGACGGGTCAACCATTATGCATCTATGAACCTTACTTTGGTGAAGGAACCTGGCCCTTTTTACAACGTAGATCACTCTATCGTGGACTCGGACTGGTGAGTCACCAAGCTCATTTTAGCTACTCTGTTAAAATGGTACAACTTTTATATGAATTATTATATGCTTATTTGAGGGTGTATGTGCATTTTTATCAAGTTTTTACTACGGTACGTTTAATATATATTGAATTGTTTGACAAGATAGGGGGAGAATGGTGTGGGCTGTCAACCATACGAGGCATTATTGTATACCTCTTTTTTAATTCATTTATTTATTCCATAGTTTGAAAATTGGATTCTGATTGTGACCCAAAATGTTGAGACAAGTTTCTGAAGTTTGGCGACACTTCATTGTTTTTGGCAATTCCCATGTCATCAACTGCACACAACCCAGCAGTTCTGCCATACAACCATTGTTTGATTTTGCCTCCGATGTTCATCTTTTCTTTTTTCATCTCCATAGGGAGAAATCTGAAACAATAATAGTTCGATTGATGCAATAAGGGTGTAATTATGCACCTAAAGTGTCATTTATTTGTGAATTGGAGAGGGGTGACGTTATGATATATTAGTCTGGCTTAGGTCATCAGGTACTATTCCTTTCTTATGTTGATACATGGACAATTTGGTTGCAGTCCGCCAAAGGTCGAAGACCTGGGGCAGATGATGTTGATGCTCCTTCTCGTCTTCCACTCCTGAGCAATACTTATTATCGAGATGTCCTCGGTGACTATGGTGCCTTTTTGGCAATTGCTAATCGGATTGACCGCATTCACAAAAATGCTTGGATAGGGTTCCAATCTTGGAGAGCAATGGCTAGGAAGGTACGTGGTTGCTTATAGTGCTATGACTTGATTCTGTTGGGAGATTAATCTGGTATCAGACTTTCATTTTGTTCACTCGGTTTATCAGAGTAATGCTGTGCAACCAGATTTGTTCATGGGATGGATTTTTTTTTTTTGGCTTAATATAATGCACTGCATGGCACTGTACGTCCCTTGGTTGACATCAGGTGCCCCTATGGCTATAGACTGAAACTACTGGTGGTAGAGGGCCTACCAATGTGGATCAAATGCAAACAAAAGTATAAAAATTGCCAAATGTCCTCAAATTGGATCTGCTAATCATGAAACTATAAAATATTAAGATAATATTTGATGTGAGTTTGGAATATTTGCGATTCATGAACAGATGTAAATGGTAGTGTCTCATTAGTTTGGAAAACTTAAATTGACTGAAAAGTTCAGAATTGTAGACTGTAGAAGCACAAAATGACAACAAATTTATGACTTACAAATTTTGTTTGTTTTCATATTGAAAGGCCAAAATGATGATACATTCTTTTGTTAACTTCAACCATCCAAACCTTAACCTATCCAACAAAAAAAAAGGGTAAAAGAAACTATTGACTGCGTATCATTGGAAGATCATTTTATTTAGATGGGGTGTATTTTGTTGAAACCAAGAAGCAAGAATTTTTATTCATTTAAGTTGTAGAGAGGTAGCCGGGACAGGAGATTCAACTGATCAAGATTCGGAAGTTGAACTTTTGCTTCTACTTTCATAGGTTTACCAGGGCATTAATAATACAACCTCCTCTTCTCAAATCCAATTTGAAGTAGATCAATTTACCATGGACATAATGTCAAGCATTGCTTCATGTCTAAAGTGAGGACTTCTAACAGGAAAATTTGTCTAAGACTGCTGAAAATGCACTGTTGGATGATATCCAAGCACGAAGACATGGTGACGCTCTCTACTTTTGGGTTCGTATGGACATGGATTCAAGAAACCCATTGAAACAGGATTTCTGGTCATTCTGTGATGCTATAAATGCAGGAAGTTGCAAGTAAGATTTGTCATGTCTAATACACCTACTTTTTCTGTTCCTTTTTCTTGTTTTTAATTTTAAAACTGTCCACTTTGTTTCTTGTTCTTGTCATGTCATATTTCAGCCAGTATAAGAATTTCACATGATTTAATTTTTTTGCACGGGTTTTCAACCTGATTTATTTGCCTCACTGATTGAAGGTTTGCTTTCTCCGTGGCTTTTAAGAAGATGTATGGCATAAAACATAACTTGAGCTCCCTACCTCCCATGCCTGTAGACGGGGACACATGGTCCATCATGGATAGCTGGGTTTTGCCAACCAGGTCCTTCCTAGAGTTTGTAATGTTTTCAAGGTTAGGAAATTTATGTTTTTTATGCCTCTATTTGAATATCTGGGGCGTAATCCATGTTTCAATAGTTTTGTTTTTTCTTTTTACTTGTTTTTCTTGAATAGTTCATTCACATACAAAATTGATATGGTCCATGTCATTTTTAGAATGTTTGTGGATGCACTTGATGCACAATTCTATGATGAGCACCATCAAAGTGGGCAGTGTTACCTGAGTCTATCCAAGGTAACTCGCTTCAATTTTCAATAACTGCTTTTAGCTGGTCATACTCATTATAAGCATTCACGTTTTGGAAACATGTCGAAATACTGGAAGAGTAAAATTATGCTATAACAGTGTACTAATTAGCATACATCACCAATGTATTTAATCAAAGATCCATTAATAGTAAAAAAAAGGGGATGTAACCATGCACTGTTTGCACTATGAATTTGATGATGTTAATGTAAGTGAGATTATCTAGTAAAATCCTTGATTTTTTTTCCATTCTACTGAGAAGTTTCAAAAATTAGTCTCCTATAAACGTCCACAGTTGTGCTATCTATGCTTTGAACACAAACAAGATGGATTTATTTCATTTTGTGCTTTAATCATGGAGTAAGTGTGCAATTCTTTCTTTTTACTGCCTTTCCTTCAAGTCTTGCTTTTCGAAATTTTTTTTTTTTGGGTCGTCATTAAATTAACTGTCTTGGAACTGCAAAAATGGCGCTCATTAAGCAGGACAAGCATTGCTACTCTCGGGTGCTTGAGCTACTCGTAAATGTCTGGGCATACCATAGTGCAAGACGAATGGTTTATGTGAATCCAAACACAGGCGTGATGCAAGAACACCACAAATTGAAGAGCCGGAGAGGTCAAATGTGGGTCAAATGGTTCGAGGCCAACACCCTTAAGAGCATGGATGAGGACCTAGCTGAAGAATCAGATTCAGACCACCCTAAGAAAAGGTGGCTGTGGCCATCAACAGGTGAGGTCTTCTGGCAAGGTCTTTACGAGAAAGAGAGGAATCTAAGAAATCGAGAGAAGGAGAAGAGGAGGCAGCAGAGTAAGGATAAGATCTCTAGGATTAGGAAACGGACTCGTCAGAAAGTAATAGGAAAGTATGTGAAGCCCCCGCCAGACGAGATCGAAAACACAAACACAACTGTGGCAGTCAGATAGCATTTATTCAATTCGAGTGGTGCTCATTCTTGCTAGTAGTAAGTCTAACCTAATTGTTTTTCACCCCTCTTCATTCTTCCATTTTTTCATTTGTCCAAAAGTATGCCTAGGTTCATATTTTGTAGGTAAGAGTCTTGTATGTAATTGCATCCTTCTGAATTGATGCCGGAAATGCTTAATTGTATACTAGCATCTTTTATTTTTTTCGAGTCGGGGCGGGGTAGGCGTATATCCCGGGTGGGTGTTTGCAACTTCTTTCAGCTGCTATAACTCGGAGGAAAATGGTATAGAACTTTGCAGTTTGATGAGCAACATTGTTTGAGATCTGTATGAATGAATGATTTGTGACTTCAGACGCAAGTTGTTGTCTACTTGTTTCTAATTGCAACCTTTTGAAGTTGGGAAAATCTCATTTGACAAAATGAGATTTACCCTATGAAGTTGGACATGCTTCCATAAGGCCTATGCATTTCTGTTCCAACTTAAGAGCTTCTTGTATTTAAAAGATCAATGCAATCCGAAGTTATTAGACAATCTAATTAGTTAATTAATCTTAACGGCTTCAAATCATGACTCGCTCTCCTCCCTCGACTAACGCCCTGAAATGAATCTGATTATACACAACCCTGTCATAGGAAACCCCCAATCCAACGTTCAAATAGAATGATTTAAAGAAGTGTATCACGAGAAAGCAGTTTACACGACGACTAATTAATGATTTTATTTAGATTAGCAGGAAACAAATAGATACACTGCACAAACGATTAAGTAGTCCTGGTCTGTTAACTTAACTGAAAGCTGCTCTCTGTTAAAGGAAGACTTGAACAATGATAAGTTGAGGTCCCCAACAAGATGAGTGAAGAGAGGAAAATAAATTTTTTGACTTTCTAATGCTGAAAAGAGGACACAATCACCACAGCTGACAATATAAACTTCAGAGGGAAAAGAAACAATATTTCAACAAAAATTCACCCTTTTCCCCGAGACATGAAGGGACTTCGATCAGCATCTAAATCTCAATTGTATCTTTATAGAAAAAATGCTTAATCTCGGAGATCTCAAAAGGGCATACTAGCATGGGCTTCAGAACCTAATCATATAACTATACGCTGTTACTGCAGTAAATAGTCATACCCATGTTGTCAATACCTTGGAGCTGCACCAAAATATAGCAAGTTTCAGATAACACATCAAACGGGAAAGTAAAAATTGAAACAAAAAATATTCAAGACCTTCACAGCAATATATTTCGAGTAATTAGCCTACCTCCGCCAATTGTAGCTTCTGGCAACCGTTCGATTGAGAACTTGTGTTTAGTTATGTACATGATCGGCACACCAGGGATCTGATTATGAATCATTAATTTTCAAGCATCACAATCCAGTTTGGATAAATGAAAAAGTATATTACAATGGCACCTCCTGACATTTGGGTTTATTTTCCCCTGACATTTCAAAGATGTAACAACATAATCTCATTCTGACACTGAAAAAGATAAGAAAGCAAAACTAATACTCCAAACACCAACATTACCGTAAAACCTTGTTGACATTTGGATAAGTTACAATGACACCCTACAACATTCCTACAACATTGAAATCTCGTTTTTGAACAATTATGCCCAGAGACTCATTTTTGACCAATGATATAAAAATCATTCTAAACAAAATTTTCCATTTAGAGTCTCGTGTCATTTATGATCAAGGTTTGCCATTGTAATTTACCCCAATAAGACAATAACAAACCACTGATACTGAATTGGTTTATCATACCTTGCGAATCCTCCGCTTTAGATCTCGATCACATGTTGCTACAATGTAACACTTGTGCTGTTTTCAACAAATAATTGATACAGATTGGTTAAGGGGAATATTCACCAGACCAATCTACACAATTATGAATTTTTAATATTGAAAATTGGTCACATTATTTAGTAAGTCTCATGAGAAGAAGATAGATCAAAGTAAATTGCAAATCCAACTTCATGAAACATATAAAGGTTATAAACTTCAAAAGAGGAGGGGAAGAAAATAAACCCTCCATTCAAGGACATGCTAAATCCTGCCAAAATATGCAATCCAAACAAGAATTAAATGACTGTGACAGATGGTATTGTTTAACAGAACAATTACAGTACCTAAAGAGAAACGCATGTACTTCTTGGCTTTGAAATACTTCCACCCACCAGTACCCATGCCTTGCATTATGGATATGTGTATGTCATTTAATCTATATAGCTCCTAGCAGTGTGCATGTATGTGGGTGTGTCAAGTGGGTCTGGGTTAAAAAATTGGTTGACAGAATGACACCATGCACAGCCCTTGCATACAAGCATACTTCAAGCACAATATCCTGTGAGAACACTTGTTACCACATTAAAAATGGCAAGGGTGTCAATGCAATGAAGTGGAGATGACATAGCAGGTTGTTAAAAGTGCAAATGTGCAAGCATCGTATTCTTCTGACATTGGACAGAACCAAAACAAGCATTAGAAAATGGCTCGAAGTACAGAAGTAACAAGAAAACTGAATTTGGAGGTCAGAACTGACTTAATTTGTTGTGTAGTGCTAGGAAATGACATAGCAGGTTGTTCGGATCAAATCATACCTGAGTGACTCTATCAACAATACAGTCATCAGCATAGGTTCCTTTATGAATACATGGGAGTCTTTCAAATCGAGGATCCTTTGCAATTCTGTGTAGGGAAAAAAGGGTAATGGACAATGAAAGAAGGTTTGTTATATCAATAAAATACTAGAAAGCCCGAGGGCAATCAGTACATAAACAACGTAGGATAGGAAAAAACAATGAGAATGGCTCATTGATGAAAGTAGGCAACTAAATACAGCATTTTCTGTTTAATTCCTGGCATATACAGTTCAAAGTTCTATGCTTTTGAATCGTATGCTAAGGGGCATATTGAATAATTCATAACAAGTGAACATATGTTCACCATCCTTCACATATTAAGAGTGACATATATTCTTGTTCTTCATTAAGTCAGCGTCAGGACTTAAGATTGTTCAATTTTTGTAAAGCAAATCAGAGCAAGAAAATAATATATCTATAGGAATACAGAAGCAAAACATTTCAGAAGTAGGACTTTCTTGAGAAAAGCATACGAGGACATACATACCTTAAAGCAACACGGTATTTTTGACCTAACTTCTCAAGCTCCGCCATAACACAATCAGTTATACAAGGAGTACCTTTTTCAAAAAAGAAAGATACAGAAATATATATTAAACAAGGAGACCTTTAATTAAGTAATATATTAAGAAATATAGATATTAAAAATGGAGATAATAAATTCTTCATCTGCGGTTGATAAGAAATAAGGAAAAGCAGCACATATGCTGCAGTAGCAGCAGATGGGTAGGGTAAAACTTAAAACAATTACGTAGAATTTATAGCATAAACTAAAACACCAATTCTATCTTGAAATTGACACACAATCCTACTCCAATGCCACTCTATCTGATTTCAATAGCACACATGAGCAACTAGCAATTGTTGAATGCACATTGATGCAAATGAACCCCGATTAAACCTGATGTAGATGTCCAAATCATTTACACTATCCTATGGTTCTCATCAATACAAGCATCAACATAAGAAGAACAGACAGCATGCATTGGAGGCAGTAGTAAAAACAATCTATAATATGTATGTATTTAAACAGTCATTATGGAACTTACACTTGGCGTATAAACAGTCCATCATTCCTTTCTCCAAATCCAACTGCACCAGAATTGAAGGATTCATATAAGTCATCAAAAAGGAAGATAACGTAGTATCTAATAAACCATTAGGCTAAGGCTCTGTTTGTTCCACAAGAAACACAATGAAAACAAAAAAATTCAGTACAAATAATTGTCATGTGGTATGATTAAAAAAGATATTTCTTCAGAAAATAATGAAAACAACATCCAGTAATTTTCACAGAAATAGATTTCCATAGATAGGGAAACTAATACATTATTAAGAATTAAGATCATTTTATCTATCATCCTCACCCTTCCGGTTATAATCTGCTTCACAAAAGTCTCTCACGCCCTTGCCATTAGAAGTTCATCTTATTTCAAATCTAAAAGCACTCCCACGCGGTTATCATGTTTTTCTGCATTTTTTCACTAGATTCATAAGTCACCTATGGCTCTCCCTCCCACATGCACACACAGGTGGAGATACATAAACACATACATAGTTTCTCTTACAATTAATCTCTGTCTGGTATCCATGATACTCAACTCTATATCTGGAATGGAATAGCTGTTAGTCTCATCTGAGCCTCTACTCTCCTTTTACTGCATTTTTCCCCAATTAAAAAAAAGAGAAAGGAAGGCTTGAATGGGCCCAAAAAGGCATAAGACCTTCAACAAGGAGTAATGCTATTGAAACCAAAAAATCTGACATAATTTGTTGACCTAATTCATTGTGACCTTTGAATTGACTGCAGAGTGCAAGTCTATCAAACATTAGAATTTGATGTTGATCTAATGATTTCTATGAAGCCACTTCATTCTGTTAGCAAATTATGTCAGATTTTGAGGTCCCAATAGCATTATTCTTCAACAAAACCCTTTTGGGCTTCATTTTTGGAATACCTAAAAGTCAAGAAATCATGTTGTATATCTTCTACAGCATATCATCAACAACCACATTTATAAATCTAAAAGGAGAAAAGTGAAACAAGATCCCTTTTACAAAGGGACATTAATCTATTCTTTATCTTACTCAAACCCGGCTAACAATGTGTAAGATTCATGCACAATCAAACCCCCAAAATGTCTTAGAAACCAAAAAGAGCAATGCCGAAATGGGCTGAACTGAAAAAAGGAACCTTACAATCTCGATGTAAAATTTTTCCAACACATAGATCCACAATTTCCTATCACCCCCAACAATTACAAACTCAAATTAATTCAAGGCAAAAAAATTGTTGATCACTCACTTTATTCTGAATGGAGAAATTGATGAAGTTGGTATCAACCAAAACCCGATAAGGCGGCCCCAACGCAGTGTTGTACTTGAAGAACAGTGCAGACGACACATTTGGTCTGCACCACATAAGCATTCCTTCATGTCAGAATTTATACATATACACTCTCTCAATAAACGTCAGACAGAAGGGGTGCTTGCTTACATATTTCTGGGGAGCTTTTCTTTAGTCAAATCTTTCTTGTTAGGGTTCAAAATCTCCTCTTTGTGTCTGAAAAACAAAGTTCAGAACAACCTTAAAATCGTACATATACACAAAGCCAAAGGCATACAAACAGATAGAGTGAGAGAGCTAATGAACTTACTGTTTAATTGCTTTTTTGGTGACAATCTTCTTCATGACTGCGAATTTTGGGGCTTTCTTTGCTTTTCCCATCTTCCTTACTCAGCGATTGAAAAAACAACACAACCGTTCTTCCAGAGATCGAATGTTGGGTTATTTGCTCAAAACCCTAAACCTTGATAGAGAGAAATTGGGATGGGGGGAGGGGGTGAGAGATGCTGCTATTCATGGGCCTGGGCCCTGTAGGAGCCCAGACTCCGGCGGAGGAAGAGGGAGATAGATGCTGCAATTCATGGGCCTAGGCCCGATAGAGCCCACACTGGCCACCGGATCAGGGCAGGCCTGAAAAACTAGCCCAGACCCTAACGCTGGCATGACAACGCATAGAATGAGCTAGTCGAGTGGGGTGCACCACTTCAAAATAGTCCAAATAGATCGGATTCAAATTTGAATTCGACCTGAATTCATTTAAGGGAGGCATTGAATTAGAAGTAGGCTTTATTTACTTCGCACCATTAATTTGATGCCAAATGTCGGTTGCACTGGACGAATATAAACAAGGGTGCAGAGTAGTTCACCCACACTGGACACGTGGCAGGACGCATCTAGACAGTTCACTGGGAAATAAACGCGCGAAAGATTCTCGAAACCGGTAGAAAGAACTGATTTTCTTCGTCTCCTTCTCTCTCTCTCTCGCACAATTTAAAAGGGTTGGAACGTTGTAAACTGATCATCAGAAAGAAAAAGAGAGAGAACACTGATCGCGTAAAAGAAGAGTTAGCTCTTTGAATATCTAGTTTTCGGTTGGGTTGTGGACGGATTTGTGTCGATAACTGAGTCATTTGGATTCGTGGAACCGCTTGGAAGGAGTAATTCTATTTTTGGTTTCCTCTTCTGTAAACTGTAAATCGCTTCAAACTTTCTGATTCTTTTGATTTTATGCTGCATTTGCATTGTGTTTCAATTTTAGGATACAGATTTTAGATTTGTGTGGTGCTCTTGGAATTTGAATTTAAGGTTTTTTTTTTTTTGGTTTATTGGACAATTTGATGTGCTTTTACTATTGGATTATTGTCGGAATTAGAAGTGTTTGGGGGCATTTGAAGTGTATGCGTTGGTATTGTGAAGGGTTTTTTGTTCAATTTTTGGTGGATGAATAAGTGTTCTGTGTGTAGCATGGGTGTCTTGTTGGTGATCAATTCTAAGAT